CCCCAAAACCCCAAAACCCCAAAACCCCAAAACCCCATATAATCTGAAATTGTTTGAATGTATTTAATAAAAATAAATATGAGTGAAATAGACCAGTTTGATGAGAATTTATCTGAAGAACTGCTTGATGAGAATGCATCAGCTTCAAGTGTAAATGTGTCTCCGAGTCTTGATAGAAACATGTCAAGCTCTCCATTCCAGAAAAAGGCAGTAACATCAAGAAGAGATGTATTTCCTCTATCTCAATTTGGAAGATTTAAATCTTCCAAACAACCAAGAGATGATAGGCCTGGAACTATGAAGATGCTGAATTATGTTAAAGAAGAATTTCGTTCAAAACAATTTACTACAAAAACACCAGTTGTATCACGTTTGCAAAGCGACATCAGAGAGCTTCTTAAAAAGGCTGTTCAGCAAAAGAGCCAGTCTAAGCCAATCCCAAAAGCAAATGAGGTCCCAAGTCCAACTACAGCCTACAAAGGACCACCTCCTTTGAAATTGGTTAAAGATTTTACCATTCACGAAGTCCAGACCCCAGAATGCTTTTCTGGAGCTTCATAATTGTAATTTACTATATAAATTTCTCTAAAACATTAATGTCATCACCAGGATTTTACAAACAAACTTTAGGGTTTGTGCTTTCAAAGTGTCCACCAGCACACCTCAAGGACTTTCGAGAGACCTCAGGTGTCTCACTAGACCAAGTCCAAAGAACTCTTCATCCACCGAGACTATAAGGAAGAGGAGGCACGTTCATGAAGTATTCCTCCAGCCGTTCAGGAATGATCCAGCTCTCGTGAATAAAGCCCTAGGCGCTCTTGCTGGTGCTATGACTATTTTTGTACTGGAAGATAGACATGTATCACTGAAAGAGGGGTATTATTGAGGTACTCCGTTTGGATGTAAAAATTTTAACACCAGGATATGTCTATGGAGTTCTAGTGAAGTGGCATATAAGGAAGTTTAGAAGAGAATTTTATAAATGAAGTTCTTAAGATAGGTTCTAGTGGTATTCAAGTAGGGTCATTTGATTGTAAAGACTGTGGGGCTGAGTAGTCAATGTTTTGGAGATTTCGAATTCTTCGATTCTGGTAAAAAACTTGCATAATCTGGAAATATGGAGTTTGAGAAAATAGAAATCTTTTTCTATTCCCCTGGTTAAGTTAAGTAAAAATTATCATAGAGCTTTATGAAATTCTGAAATGATGCAGAAGCCAATGAAATAATTCAAAAGAAAAATATTTTATTTAATAATTTTCTCCTTAATTTCGACTAGAGGTTAATATAATAGCTCATAAAAAATAGTCAGCCATTAGTTATTGATATAACCTTCTTCATTATATAATCAAATTTCATCTAATCCACTTCTGAGTAGATAAATAGCCTCAGACTGGTTTAAAACAGTATTTACTTTTCCTTAAACGAAATCTTTCCCATCGATCCTGACATCCAAAATTTTTGAACCAATCAGACATCCCTTCACCACAATATGTACATCCTAAAAATACCTAAAACTATAAAATCCTCTAAACCACTCACTTCAATTCTCTTCTCCACTCCCGGGGTTTTGGGGTTTTGGGGTTTTGGGGTTTTGGGG